CAGCCAAAAGCTTCCAGGCTTGGAGGCTTCATGTAAGGAAAAATCTCTGCAGAGGAAAAAGATGTCTTTAGCAACCAATGAGACAAAGCTACCATCTCAACTACCTCTGCTAAGGGCTGTTTTCAGGAAGGAACACAAGAACAGGTATCCCTTGGACAGTGAGATTTACACCGTAGGGGCAGCAGGACAACCACCAGCACGTGTTTTAGGGGACTTGTCTCTACAGAACTGCCTCGTGCTTTTTTTGAGCATCCCTTACTTCATCAAATCTTAACCTTGCACGGTGGCTGCCATACTAACAGAATCTGCAACGCGAGAAAAACACAGTAAAGAAACACCCAAATAACACCACAGAGATTAAGCAGCAAAGTCTCCAAAGCAAACAGCTCAGGGGGAACAGGGACATCCACAGGCACAGAAGCGGCCGAGCAAGGCAGCTAGGGGACAGGGCTGCACGGTAACGCCTCTCTCCTTGCCTTCCACAAACAGTCTGCACAGGAAGCCACGTACGAGGAGATAAAGGAAAGGAGAGTTTCAATGGAGAGTTGAGCTGGACACATTTGCCTTAATCCAGTCATCTCCCAGGATTCTAAACCACCGTTCACTTTCAACTCTTAACAGCTCTTGTTGCCCATCCAGGTTTTCCCCCTGGCTTTTACTATAATGATTTAAAAGCGAACCAGGATGATCTGAAGAGTGCATGCACTTTGATACTCAAGTTTAGTCAACCTCTACAGCTGCCTGGACGATAAACAGATTTGCTTTGTGTTAAAATACGTAAAACACTCAACTTACCATTCTTCTACTGACTTTGGTTACCCTGATTTATGGCAACTGACCTGGCCCAGTATTTTCAAGCTCCAGATGATATTACAGAGAAGATGGAATAATTACCGAACAAGTATCCTCTTCAGCAACTGCTGATCTCCTTCAGAGTAGCCAGGCCAGTCCTTCTGCACTTCTTTGTATACACAGTCTTTCAGTGTGAAAGTGCTGTCCTTGGCACTCAAATTTGCCACCTGAAACAAAAGTAATTTGTAAAGAACTGTTAGGGTTTAATTTTCTCACTTGTTCTAACAAAAGAGATCTAAGATGCAGGCAAAAACCTCAGCAGGTTTAACAGCAGTTAGCAGTGTCAGAGAACTAGGAGAGACTTTATACTTCATTTCCCAATTATTTAACCAAACTGTGCCTTTCCTTTTGCCTTATTGCAATAGTTTATTACGAGTTTCCAAAGCATACCCAGTCTGCTGGGAAACAACTCATATCCAACCAGATTATTCAGCTTGGATAGTCTGGAACAGTACAACATCAGTTTATGGAAATATTTGGAAATAAACCGTAATGGGAACAGGCAGTTCACTTATCACACCTGTCCGATAGCTAAAAAGCTGCAGTTTAATAGCTGATAGCGGAACTCTTGCGTCGATACCTTAGTTAACGATTGCCAGAAGATAATTTCTCGCTAACAAGTAAAACAGGTGACAGAAAGCGACTTTCTCAAGGGGCAGCGAAGAGAATGCCTTGCAGACACAACGCGTGAGGGAGTCTGCAGATCACACTGGGCAGCTCAGCGCGTTGGGATCATCTGCCGCATTTCACGGAGGAGAACTTTTCCGAGGATACTTCAGGGCAAGGACAAAACCTGTGATTACCAGCTTATAACCCAGGGTTTTAGAATAAAGCACTGCACCTAAATCATGTGCTGCACTTCGCTCAGTGCACGCGCACGAGAAACTTTCTGACATTTTATCCAATTCTACCGTGTGTAGTTTCCTCACAAAACCCTGCACGGTGCCTACACGGATAGGAAACGCTGCTGGAACCGGCAGAATTGTATTAGAATGGAAACAACTTGTTAAGAGTTATCCCACTTCGATCAGTCTTTCCACAGCTTGACTGAAAATTTAACTTCTTGCTGCTGGTTACACATCTGAAAAATACAATGGTAGCACAAACCAAAAAGCCCCAATTAAAACTTTCACAGATATGAGCGAACCCTTCCTAGGTGACTGTAGAGCGCTGCAAGTTCAGAAAGCAAACAAAGCCTGAAGTTTGTTTTCACAAAAGGGATATGGAGGCAGAGGTGCCAAATGCTGTGCCCACAGCCAGGCCAACCAACTGGCACGGCCAGCAACAATTCCGCTGCTGCAGCCGTTCAGTTTGATGACTGTATTACACTTGAAACTGGAAGGTGCTTTTATTCAGTCAGTGGAGATATTGTGCATCTGTCTAAGGATTAGTATTCTCCATGGCTCGCTCCACTCAGGGCAAGGCTGGTATGAATTTCTATTATCCACGCAGCAGTGAGATAGCCCCAGAAAAGCAAGTGAAAGAGTGGAAAGTCTTGAATTAACTGAAGATGCTGTCAATTCCTCCGCTTCTGCTTTAAGGAGACTATGACCCAATATCAAAAATCAATGAATTTAAAAGAAAAAAAGCTGCAGAACTTACACAGCAAAGCTCTCCTGATAAGCGAAAAATAGAAAGCACTGTTATCAGTTTACATGACAAACACTTTGTTTTTCCTTTCAGTTCTGTCAGCTTTCCAAAATCCTGAGCCAAAATACAAGAAGAATTCGAGCTGTGTTTTACATTTAGATATCCCAGTAAACACGCCCAAGAGAGAAAAGTAAAGCCAGGTTCCTTTTCAAAAACTCTCCGAGAATCTCTCTGGTCACTGCCTCTTTCTACAGTGGGAGACACGGGGCTCAGCAGGGCTCGTAGCCCGGGCAGAACAACAACTCAGATTTTCTCTGCACAGAGGCTGAGAGCTGCTGCCTCCTTGTTTTGCTGGTGTGGGACTCTGCAAGCTCCACCCCAGGCCTCCCAAAAATAGAAACCTTGCAAAATGAGGCAAAAAGGCCAGCAGGAACACGGAGTCCTATGAGAGATGCAAGAGTACAATGAAACCCACACCTAGACGTATTTAGACATGTAGCTTTAATGCAGCCTGTAATTTTTAGCTTATCTGTGTCTGCCTGTGGAGGGGAGCCCTGGTAGCACCGAAAGGAGGTTAACTTCACGAGCAATACATTTGCGGCCAAATCAGCCTTTACCCCCATCAGGCTGACACCGTGGACACTGCCAAGCACACCCCTGGCCTGCTAGGGGTTGGTGAGAGCATCAATAAAAGGTGATTATCAGAAAGGGTATTTCTAGTTATCAAACCTATTTGGAGCGTTCAAAAAGGGTGCTGAAAAGAATTCTAGCCCTGCTGGAAAATTAAGGGCTACAGGATTAAAATCTAGGGAAGGAGCAAGCTGTGCCAGCAATAACTCCGTTTTCAATACGACCTGCCCTGCGCCCTTGGGCAAACCGACTCCTCACTGTCTCATTCTTTTCAGCTATGGAAAGGAGTAAAAAAAACCAACCTAAGACAGAAAAAGCAGCTGCAGCACTTAAATGAATATCCATGATGTGTTTTTGCACTGCGAGAGCAATAAAGGTATTTACTGCAATTCCTAAAATGGCACCTTCAACGTGACTCAAAGTGTTAAGAACTGATTCAGCTTGGAGACAGCTTTCACACTTGACATACAAGTAATACGCTTTGCAAGAGGCTGCGTGATCTCCACACCTAACCAGTTGTACCTCTAAAAGGCATGGCTCTGAACAATGCAAAGATGATGTAAAGCTTAGTGGAGAGGGATCTGTTTTTTCCTTCACATAGGAAACGTTACGTGTACCAATACAGAACGTGCTGCTTTATGTCCACGTTGATAAAAATATATACCATAGATTTATAGATTATAACAGAGGATCTATGAGCTGTTTGATTTGTGAAGTTATTCTCCCCATGACCAACCAAAAGTGCTCCTCTTAAGGGACTGATCTGGTGAGCCAAAAATCACACAGCGTAGTTGGATACACCTAAACCGAGGCGTTATCACAAGAGGCTCCTGCTACCTCTACCAAAATATTAACGTGAATTACAAACTTCTGTCAGACATGGCCTCTAGAGAAAACATTCAGCTGCAGCTTTGAGATACACAGGTTATGTTCAAACTAACACAGAAGGTACCACTGTTCTGAGAAGCCATTTCCCTTTACCTAAATCGTTGCCTTCATCAGAGTACAAACCTGTTGCAGAAGGTTGTCCAGCAAATCCTTGTCCTGCTGAGAAAGTCCATCCTTCTGCAATCTGAGAATAAGTTCAGGTTTCTTATAAGGCTTTAGTGCCAGTAAGTGCACAACCCTATCTTTGAAGGGTCTCTGAGAAATCGCACTATTGCCTCTCTTTATTGCACTGGCAAGGTTGACTGGCGTTGGGCGCTTCCTGGAGGGAACAGCATCGGAAGCTCCTGGTGCAGGTTTACGCACCTGAACTTTTTTGCCTAAAATGAGATGAGAATAGTGAACTGCAGCAGTCACCTTGCAAAGGCCAGTGGTCTGTCAACACGTATATGGAGTTCATTACACCATCTGAAGTGCCAGAAGATGACAACGAAGGACAAACACAACCAGCACCCACCATCCGCTCCGATACGCCGCCGGAACGAGTATCCCGTGAGTTTTATGATTCATGACAAGCTTGTAACAAGTAAACAGCAACACCGAGCTCTGGAAACCTGAGTATTATTGGCCACAAGCTTACATAAAGCTCTCTTTGTTTGCCAGCTTTTCATTTATCCCAAGTGCACGTATCCCCACGGTTAATCTAACCATTTTTTTCCCCCTCCCTACGAGAGGAAAATTCTGCATTATTATGTAGAAGAGTCGAAATATGGAGTGGAAAGACCAGAACTGGTCAACAAGCGGCTCCCTGCTGCTGATCTCAGCAAAAACGCTACTCCAGCAGATGTTTCTGCTTTTAGAACAATAGGAACTTTATGGGGCTGGGTCCACCTCCCTTCCCCCCACCAAACCCAGCCACATGAATGGGGTCTAACGCCAATACATTAGCCTATTCATTAGTGTGCTGTCTACTCTGATACAATAACCCCTTCTACATTGCAGTCAGAACTGCTTCGCCCTCCAGTTACACGTAGGTATACGTGAGAACGTAAAGCTGTCTCAAAAGTTCATCTCGAGCCCTCAGAGGCAGCTTCCTCAACCCCGTCCCCAATGCGGTTCTTGGTTTCTGGCAGCATTCTACAAGAATTCACGTTTCCCATGCCCGTTGAAAACCAGCTTTAGCGAGCACCCTCACTCACACCAGTCCCACATCACTCACTACAGCGCAAATCAAAGAATTCCGCTGTTTTGAAATACAGAAACAGGTCACAAAGGCAGGTTCCTGCTACCAGAGGTGAAAGCAGCGAATTGAAAAAGCAAATTTGTAGGTTCCAAGGTCTAAAACACAGAGATATAATCAACAATCACTCCGGTTCAAGAAAGTGACCTTCACTAGGACAAACAACATCCAGGATTTACTGCAAGAATTTTGGAGGTTTATTTCAGCATGGCAATTCTCCACTGCTCGGAAGCAATGTTTTCAATTGAGTCATCTGAAGATACTGGTGATTGTCTGCAGTGTTTATTTTACTGAAATGGAGATTGCGTAACTGAGTCCCCATTTCCTGGCTTTTTATTACGCACCACGCTGATGCAAGGAAGTACGACCCACTGTAGGCAGGGCTGAGTTAAGGCGAGAGGGAGGAAAACAACAATTCACACATGAAACATCCCCAAATTCAGAGGTCAACTGGACTTTGTTTCCAGACATGGGACAAGAGAAGATCCATCAGCTTTCTAGAACTCCCTTAGCTCTTCCCAGGTCACGAACAGCAAAAAAAACACATTGGGACATCTCCATCTGGAGCCAAAACGCGCAAGGATAGCAAAGGAAAAAAACTAAGTTAAGCAAGAACATGAAGCCTTATAAAATATTTATACATGTGCATATAGATAGATGTGTACACACACATCTCTTTAGTGTCTATATAAGCACACACATCCCCCTGCAGACAGATCAGCTATCTATTTGCATACAGATTCGTTCCAGTGTTAGTTCCCATCTATACGGTTCTGTTGATCTCCAGTTTCAACATTTCATATAATTTCTTCCACATCTGAGCTGCCTGGAATGACTCCACTGACGTTTAAGTGCTGAGCTCCGTGTTCTCATGGAAATGTGAGAGGCAGCCTTCTCCCTCCAGACCAGCCTGCAAATCAATCAGCTGACGGTGCTGGCACACCAAAGCCGTGCGGATCCCACAAGAGGACTGTCCTCGCCCAGGCTCTTCCTTCTTAGACCAGCGCTTTCCTCCCGTCTTAAACACTGACATCTCACCTACGCAGCATGCACTCCACTCCATCGCTTTTTACAGGGCTGGACCCCCATTTCAGAGTGGTAAATGTTTTAGCAAGAATATTTTTTAAAGCAAAAAGTTTTGCTCTATCTTTCCGGGAAGCAATTTGCTTTGAGAATCTTCTCCCTCACAAGCCTAACAACTTCATCCACTTACTGTAATGTTCTCAAATACAAGCTAAACAAAATAATCTTCTAGTCTACAGGAAATCAATGCATTTCCTTCCTGATTACTATCTTATTTCTCGGCTTTGAGCACTTGGCTGATAAAACAATGAGTCAGGGTCAGTTCTACGTTTTGCAACTCACCATTCTCATCACAGACATCCTCTGAGAAGAGACTGGCTACAGATCACGTGGGCTGCAGAAAAAAACAGCTGGCTCAAAAAAAAAACCCAAGCCAACTCAAACCTCTGCTTTCTGGTTAATATTTGTGCCCTGAGTTTGTGACCAGACTGAGGTTATCCAGGGACCTGAGCCCAAAGCCAGGTCTCTGCAGGCTCCTCCTGGAGCCCACTGATATTTGCCAGTTTTATTTCCTCCCCTAACAGTCTCCTTTCACTGTCACAACTAGACAGTTCAAGGCTGCAGCCAGCAGCACTGCTTTAGTCTCTCTGTTTATCAACACAAGGGCACTGCTCACTGCATCCGAGATGTTGCATGTTACGCTCCCAAGTGCGGGCACACACCAGATGGGGGACAGCAGCAGCGGTACAGTTCCGCTGACTCCGCTAGGAGCGCCGACACTTCTGATGGATCAGCAGTATGTTCTCCGCATCACCACGTGACAAATATGAAATAATGCCAGGGAGCGATGCGAGTGCACCCAGGCAATCCTCAGAGGCCACGCAAACGCCACCACACAGGTTCTAGGGTGAAGGAGGAAGCCATGAAGAAGTCACAATACAAAGGGAGTAGCACCCTAACAAATCAGACACGCGTAAGGAACTACCAGGTACTCGTTAAAGACTTTCACTGTCAAGCAAACATCAGCATTTGACTTCAGAAGGTAGCGAAGACACCCCCAAAACCAAGTTGCTGCTTACCTACGTATCTCCCCCCAGGTTTAATGACTATAGCGCTCCGGCTGCGAGTCTCCTCCTCTGCCTGTGCCATGCTTTGCCTCGCCTTCTGGTAGGAATCATCAGTAGCACACACAGTGATTTTATCCTGTATGCTTCCAAGGCAATCCAAATGGATATTGCCATTGCTGCAAGAGAAATGCAAGGGAAAAAGATACTCCCAACACTGCGAATGGGCACATCTCTGTCACCGGTGAGTAACTGAGGGTGCGTCAGCTGAACGATAGGAGGGGACAGAAAGAAGCCGAGAGGCAACAGATTCTTCTGCGAGTGCCTCCTTGCCCAAATACACACACACAAACAGATCAGAAAGACTCTAAAAAGAAAGAACACGTACTCAGTTTTGTCCAGGTTTGTTAGCGAAAAGATTCTGCAGAAGATATAAACAAAAGGCCAGATTTTTCTATTGCTGTACCACTCACCTAGATACATACTGCTGGATACAGTCAAAACTCCCTTGGGGGCTGTCCTTGCCAATATTTGAAAGATAAAATGTGAAAGTCCGCACTTCCGTAGGTCGATCAGGCCTTGGAATTGCGATGTGCTGTTTGGAAGGAGAAAAATACTGGTCACTTGGGTAGCCCACGCTAACACAAAAATTCAGTTTTTCAGCAGTCGCTACGCTTGTAGCCATTTTGCAGCTCACGACAAGCACACAGATTACTGCACAGGAGACTATGAAGAGCAAGAAGCTACAAGAAGGATTCAAGTTAGCAAAACTATATGCATTGAAAAGGTAACAGAGGTAGACAGACGGAACGAACAGCTAAAGTGACAGCTAGGTCTGTAACAGAACAGAGATCTGAGGTGGTGGCTTGCTGTCCTTCAAAGCAGAGCCCACAATAATCTTGTTCTAGCAATCTGACCCAATTCTATTGATTCAGGCTCAAAACAGACTTGCTGCCACTGTTTATACTCAATTCAAAGCACTTGAGGCTTGTTTCTTTAGAATTAGTGATCCAGCACTAAACATAGTAACAAGCCAGGTCACTAGGTAGCATGCTTTATTCTTTTTTAAGAGATTATAATTCCATAACGAGATTTCATGGCTCACAGTAGAGTGTGACGCTGCTGCTAAATTAAATATTTAATCAAGCATTAAGTGTGCTCTGCAGACAACTCCACAGCGATCTGCACTGGTTTTCTCTCTTTCCCCCCCCGCCCCAGCCATTCATTTTTCAAAAGGGAAACTGCTTCCCCTCTGCATTCAAGATCCAACATAAATCTCAGCATGTGAGCTCTACTATCGCATCAATATTTGATAATTAAGATGGCTTCCAGAAAAGGAGACAGAGGGAACATCAGCTTCAACCTATTTTAGGCTACACTCTACCACACAGATTTATATTTACCCAGATTGCCACATATATGCACAAAATACATACGCCTCACAAACCAACTCGTGGCATCCACATACGCCTGCGCTCCGTAAAAGATCACTGCTGGCACAGAAGGGTTTCTAGGTGGTTTCCCTTTGACCTCAGATGTCTACAGCAGCCTGGAAACCAGCGCATCTGCGCTGCTTCGCTAAACCACAGGGATGTTTCTCAGAAGCGGCAAGAAACGCTTGTGTGACCCGCACCGAGCTGAGCCAGTGCAGCATTTTCCATCCGCTCCCCGTAAAGACCAGCTCTCCTCCAGCCAGACTTCCCTTCTTTCGCAACGGCAAGCCGGGAAACCCAGGCTGGAGCGATACAGAAGGACAAGTTATCCCCTGCACAGTCCCAGGATCCGGATCTAAAAATACTCGGAGCAGATTTGGTGGCCATCCGGGCGCTGACGGGCAGCGCCGACCCTCCGGCAGCAGCAGCTGGGCCCTGTTATCTCCCCTGCCAAACGCGCGCCGCGGCCTTGAGCCCTTAATCTGCCCCAACACCCTCTGCCCCCACCCATCCAGAACGAGTAAAATTCTCTTCTGCTTTACAAGTGAGCTGAGAATATGCACAAAGTCAGAGTTATGTAAACAGGAGATTGTGGGTATTTTGCAGCTGGCACCGCTCGCCCGCTAGTTCATGGGCTGGGAACGGGGCGAGAGGGGGAACGCGACGGGTCCGTTGGGCTTCCAGCGCCGTTCGCTGGGGGAGCGAGTCGTGCTGCACGCCACGGGTCTGTCAAATAGGACCCGGAGGATGTAACCAAATCGTATATTCATAGGCTCAAATAACTTGCTTCTAGCTCCTCATTTGCCATCGTAAAAATGGCTGCTCTGAGAGCCCCGAATTTGGCGGGTTTGTGGAGTTTCTGCAGCGTCTTCAAAGGACATAAAACGAGAGAGGAGCGAGAGAGTCGCTTTAGCGTTAAATGTTGCTCGTTCCAGTACTGAAAAGTGTAGCGTATGCAAACCGGCCGTTATCTAGGAATTATTTTTAGCTGAAACAGAAGGTTTCTCAAGCCACCAAATCAGCATGGTAACTGCTTTGAGGGAGCCCTAATTTCGGTGCTGAGTATTACACCAGTAACCATAGACACTTAAAAATAGCTCTGTACAGATGTGACTTCTGTTTTTTTTTTCTTTCAAGTAATATTCATCTGTGTACAGCTCATTCTGAACGGCAATTTCACCTTCCTCTATTAATACCAACACAAGTTCATCCCAAGAAACAGGGGAAAACGTCATCTTTTCCAGTCACGTACAGTTATGACGTTTTGTTCCTGACAGTCATATTTAAGAAAGCTGCATGAACATACATGGATTTGGCACCTGAAGGGGTTTTTTCCTCCCCCCAGTTCAGTTCTTTCCC